GGGACTCACTCCGGCTGCCCTAAGCACCTGGAGTTCACTGCTGCTCAAGCACAGCCCATCCCACCACCGACTGGTCCTACGTCCTCTGCCATTCAGAATTAATTCTGGACTCAAAGTGGACGGAAAACAAACGTACTTCCTAGTTCTTTCAGCTCTTCCGAGATCTTTTGTGTTACAGAAAAAACCAAACAGCCAAACAAAAAACAGTCTGGTCCCCCTATGCTACCACACCAGGGCATCCCTTTCTATAAGCAAAGCCATTAAAAAAATTAAAAGGTTCTCTTAAGCTTTAAAGCATGTCTACCAATTAAATCTGTTTGTATACTTGTATTTTATAGGTTACCAAGGTCTATCTACTTAATTGTGGTCATATGCACTGAAATGGTAGTTTATGGGCCTACTCTAATTGATATGGAAAAGCAATAAATTGAGCTTTTTTTTTCTTTCCCTTTTCCAATACCACAAGACAGACTGTTAAAAAACCCTCAACCATAACTGTTTACTCACTGAGCCACACCACACACACACCCCCAACCCAGTCAATAATCTGTTAAAGCTTGAAGCAATGGTTCTCAACCTTCCTATATCTGCGACCCTTTTATACGGTTCCTCACGTTGTGACTCCCAACTTTAAAATTATTTTCATTGCCACTTCTTAACTGTAATTTTGCTACTGTTAGGAATCCTAATGTAAATATTTTTTGGAGATAAAGGTTTACCAATGGGTCATGACCCACAGGTTGAGAACTACTGCCTTAAGGCTTCTAGTCTCAGGATTTGTCTACCTTCCTGTCACTGGAACCTTTGAAATAATCCTTAAACTTCTAAAAGTCTTCAAACTGCTCTTAAATCATGAATTAGGCCAATACAGGCCAGGCCCAAGGCCCGGAAATGGCTGAGTTAATAACTTCCTATCTGGAATTCTGGCTTTTCAGAAGGGAGAGAGGGGTGGGGGCGAGCAAGCAAGTGTGAGAGTGTGTGTGTGTGTGTATGAGAGAGAGAGAGAGAGAGAGAGAGAGAGAGAGAGAGAGAGAGAGAGAGAGACTATATACATAAACTAATGTATCTTTACCAATTCTATGTTCTCTTCAGGAAACATTTGTATTCATGTTCATCTCCTTTATTTCTATATGTAATCTGCAGCATTTAGAATCTTGACTCAGAGAAGCAATCTACCACTGGATTTAATTCTATAGTATTCTTGGTTTTCCCTTTAGCAAAACCAGACTACTCCTCCAGATATCCTGCCTGTGAGTGTCCCTTTGTGACTGTGAGGGCTAGTGTTGTCCAGCTGACACAGTGAAAATCAGGCAGGTCGGTGAGGGATTACCTAGACTATATTGACTTGAGGTGGGAAGAGCCGCCCACTCCGGGAGGTGCTGTGCCCTAAGCAGGGAATGTATAAAGTGGAGCGAGCAGGCTGAGCTCTGTGATGCATGTATCCATTGCTCTCTTCTTCCAACTGATTTCTCCACTGTAACAGACCGTAACTGGGACCTATAAGCTAAACCCTCTCTCCTTTAAGTTGCTTCTGTTATTTATTGCCAATAGGAAACGAAAGTAAGATCAAGAAGATAGTGGTTAATCCCAAAGATCTTAATCATTTAACAGAGACAACTGCATGCAAAATACAAACTACTACGCTAATAACAGTATAAAACACAGCTCTGAGGATGGACAGATGTCTCAGTCCTTAGGAACACAGGCTGCAATTCCAGAGGACCTAGGTTCGATTCCCAGCACCCACATGGTAGCTCACAACCAACTGTAACTACAGTCTCAATAGATCTGCTGCCCTCTTCTGGCCTCTGCAGGCAATTTGCGCACATGGTACACATACATGCAGGAAAAAAACACCCATAAACATAAAACAAAAGTAAATAAATCAAAACAATACAAAGCAAAAACAAATAGTCCTACAGACGCAGCTATTCAGGAGGCTAAGAACAGAGGAAAACTTGAGTTAATTTTATATAAATAAAATCCCAGCCATAGCTGAGTGTGTGCCTCAATAACAGCATATGCTCAGACCTACAATCCCCAATTTTTTCCCTCTGCGCCACAAATAAACAAAAACCTTAAATACCTAACACATTAAAACCTGTTCTACTCCATCAATCATGACCTAGACCTAGATTTGATGACTTCCACTGGATTTGTGGTGTCACACACTTACGTAGCTGTACAACCTACTCTCAAACTAAGTTTCATTATTAAAATAAAGACTATACTTTTACATTCTTGGAAAATTCCCCCAGTCCTATTGTAATGCACTGAATGCTATTATTCTAAATGTCCCACAATAAAAGTTTGAAAAGCAAAGAATCTGAAGAAATAAAAGTCACCAGACATACTTGCTGAATCCAAGGTAAATTAGCCAATTCAAAATATACAGAGTAAGACCACCCACACACGGTTCTCTGAATTTTCTTTCCAGCTTACAGGTTTCACTGAGAGAGAACAAGTCACTCTCTGAAATGTCTTGAAGCAGTTCTAAACATCATGGAGAAAGTGGAGCAGCTGGGGAAGTGGCTCAGGGGTTAGGAGCACTGGCTGCTCTTCTAAAGGATCCAGGTTCAATTTCCAGCACCCACATGGTGGCTTGCAATGTCTGTAACTCTAGTCCCAGGGGATCCGACCCCTCTGCTGGCCTCCACAGGCACCAGGCACACATGTGGCACACAGATATAGCTGCAGATAAAACAACTATAGACATAAAATGAATTTTTGAAATTTAGGAAAAAGCAAAGTGAGACAGTAATGTTTGAGATGGTCTGTATGTCAAGTGTGTTGCTGATTGGTCAATAAATAAATCACTGATTGGCCATTGGCTAGGCAGGAAGTATAGGCAGGACAAGGAGGAGAATAAAGCTGGGAAGTGGAAGGCTGAGTCAGAGAGACACTGCTAGCCGCCATGATGACAAACAGCATGTAAAGATGCCGGTAAGTCACGAGCCACGTGGCAAGGTATAGATTTATAGAAATGGATTAATTTAAGCTGTAAGAACAGTTAGCAAGAAGCCTGCCACGGCCATACAGTTTGTAACCAATATAAGTCTCTGTGTTTACTTGGTCGGGTTTGAGCGGCTGTGGGACTGGCAGGTGAGAGAGATTTGTCCTGACTGTGGGCAAGGCAGGAAAACTCTAGCTACACAGTAACTGTAAGATTAAAGAGTACAGAGTCCCAGGGCCAGGGAGAGTACAAGCCCAAACAGTGCAGGGGCATGGGTTTGGTCCTTAGTACCACAGGGGTGCAGAGCACCCAAATGAAACAAACCCCACCCCATTCAGTGACACTGAGCCACCCAAAGAACCCAGGCAAAGGAACAGAAACCCATCCTGCAAGCAAAGGTAAGAGCAGCCATTTCACTTGGGCAGGTCAGAGATGTGCCATGCACCGTTCACAAGTATTGACTTCAGCAGCATGAATTCGTATTAATAGCAACAATCTGATGTGAAAGTTTAAAGCCCACACGATGTCACCACACCCTCCCTGCAGCTCTGAAAAAGAAGTGGAGCACTAAAGTTCTAACAGTGCTGCAGTAAAGACGGTCTTCAGGGGTAAGGATGGGCTCCTGTGTGTAGGAACTGACCACAGCTTTGCTGTGTTTCATAGTGCTCTGAAAATACATGCCCACAGGAAAAAACAAAATAAAACAAAACAAAACCCAAGTACAAAGAAAGTACAAAGGGAATACCTAACCCTTCGGCCTACTTTACACATTTAGTCCAGGCTCTTGGCTTAGGTTTGAAGAAACCTTATACATAATCGTGTGTGTATGTGTGTGCGTGTGTATGTGTATCTATGCACACATATGCTGCTTAAACCGCAAATAAAAGCATGCTGCTCACACAATTCTCTAGTGTTTTTCTCAGTTAACAGTGGACCTTGGCAGATTCTTCCACACATGTATCTCTGGCTCCACTTCATCATTTATTGACATTAGCTGCAAAGTGTTACATGTGCGAAGGCACTTGTTTAACCAAACCTCCACTGTAGCATGCTTACTTCTAATTGTCATTTTCTATTTCCAACAATATTGTGATATATCATTATATGCAGATATTTGTGTACAAACACAATTCTGTGGGCAAGATGAATTATTACAAGTAGCGCCTGTTAACAGAAGCAAGTAAGTGCAAACAAGAAACCAGTATATCCACAGAGGAGACAAAAAAATACCTATAAATTAAGTGCTTAGTGATTAGAAGATGCTAAACATTATCACCGAGTTAGGAGCAGAGTAACAATGGAGAGAGGAAGGAAAGGAGGAGGGAACAAGAGAAAAAAGAGAAGAAAAGGAAACTTACATATCCCCTGGGACAGAAGACTGAGAAAATAAAAAAAAAAAAAAAATGGAGCCGGGTGGTAGTGGCACATGCCTTTAATCCCAGCACTCAAGAGGCAGGAGCCAGGCGGATCTCTGTGAGTTCGAGGTCCGCCTGGTCTACAGAGCGAGATCTCAGGACAGGCATCAAAACACAGAGAAACCCTGTCTTGAAAAACAAAATACAAAAAAAAAAAAAAAAAAAAAAAAAAAAAAAATGGGAAGGGGAAAAAAAGAAAAAGAAATCACACAAATAAGGCTGAAAAAGGTAACATAAGAGAAAAAAGACGTGGTTTCTCTTGCATAAGCCTAAGGCACAAAATAGAATTACTCAATAGATTTGAGACATGCACTATTTCATAGACAAGCTTGGATACCACATGACTGAGACGAGTATTTGAGCCCTTATTTTAACATAGCAACCGCACAAGGAAGAGAATCTCCCAAAAAGGAAGACTCCACAGTACACCTGGTTTCCTCTTTCATTTCTGACCTCCTCAACAGGGAAATAGTCACACTGTGTCATACAAACAAAGTATGTCTCTCTTTGAAAGATCCTGGTTTTAAAAACAGAGATTTAGGCCTAAGTTTTCCTGCCTTCTTGAAGTTTCTTTGGCTCAATCAGGGCTACTCTAACACGCCATCTAATATAAAACACAGCCAACAACTCACCTCTCCCAAAGTGTTAGGATTTGAATGCCACGACACAAATTGACTCATGTTTTGTCCGTTATTGCGTCAGGGGTTTCCTTATATGAAGTCCATTCAGAGTCCATAGGTAGCAGGGTTCTGCGAAACTGAAAACCTCAAAAATGTCAATGCACATATCTAGGTTACCACTTGGATCCAAATTCATTATGGATAGCAGCTACGCCATATGAACACTTAGATATGCAGTTTAGCAGATATGACTCTGAACATGGTTGAAGTGGCCAAGACTACACGAAAACAGTAATACTGACCTAGAAGATCTCAAATTTCGAATGTCTTTTTACCATATTTAAGAGTGGCACAGAAACAGCATATAAAATGGGGTGAGTGGGATACCAGTACTGTCCAGGAATTGGGAAAAGAAGGTCTAAATGTAGAAAAACATAAACTTAACTACAAAAAGGTTTTTGCATGTTTACTTTTGGAGTTTTCAATTGACTTGAAGAAAAGCTTAGGTTTAAAATCTAAAGATGCTTACTAGTTTCTTATGTAAAACACAACCATGCAACGTAAGTTCCTGGTCTCCTACTCCATTCTATCCAATCTAATGATGCAATTCGGGACCTCTCAAGATCAGCCTTTCAGATAGCCCATGCACAGCCACCTCACTGGGACTGCACGTAGGTGGAGACTCTTGCCTCGATCTGACTACACAGCACTATGTGTCATCTGTTCTGTATTCCATTTGATAGCCCAAACAAGGTGGTTACAGTACTAGTTTTTTGTGGGGTGCATGCTCACTCTTCATTACACCTAACAGCGCTTTTAACAAAGGAAACACTTTAATCTTCGCGGGGTTTTTTTTTTTTGGGGGGGGGCTGCTACAATCGCTCCTTTATGTCTATACACAGCAGGTGTATTTCTCATTCATCTTTCAAATGTTGGTTGCTAACATAAGAAGTCTTTAAGAAAAAGAAAGCTTACACCGCTGAAAAGAAAGAATTTATAACATCAGATACCAGCACGGTGCGACCACAGCGGCTTATTTATTATTCAATAACCTCCCTGGGATCGCACCCCAGGAAGTTCTTTCCCAGAAAAGTAAAGGTAGTCGCAGGAAGCCAGATAAGCGCCTTATCCTTTCCACCAAGAGACTAGTACCCGTTTGTAAATTTCAGTAACTTTAAAAAACAAAGGCGTCCTGATTTTCTTCTGCACCCGCATCACAGGGCCGGGAGTGGGCAAGCAAAGTACACTGGAGTCGCGGTGCATGCAGAGGCTGGATGCTGACACCCGGGATGCACTCGGCCGGGTACCAGCCCTTCCTTCCCTGCCGGCGGCGTCTACCACCCGCCAGGCACCGACCTCCAGAAGACCGGGTCGCTGTCCCCTACTGCACCACGGGCTGACTGAGTAAGTGGGCAGCGAGCCTAACTGAGCGCGCGTCGGCCGCCCCAGACGCCACGTCGCCAGCACCCGCGAGCGCCGCCAGGTTCCTAGAAGACTTACTTCCTCAAGGCTCTCGGCCCGAAGCCGAGTCCGCTCGCCCGCAAGCCTCCCTCGCACAGCCTTCCTCCGACAGCGCCGGACACCCGCCCCAGCGCGCAGGCGCCGCCTCCGCCGCCACAACTTCCGCGTGTGACGTCACTTCCGATCCCTTCTGCTCCGCCGCGGGTCTTGGGTTCGCGAGGTTAGGTGTTAGCTTGCGGGACCTGGGCTGCGGGACCCGGGTCCTCTTTTTTTACAGATGCTCTTCCGTGCTTTAAATGCACCGCTCCGATCCACATTAGCGGGCGTCTGGACGAAATCACAGGACCCTTGAGGCTTTTAGATGCCCCGGCTGGGTGTCGGCCTCGGAGACTGCGTTCGCTGGCTGCGATGCTGCCCGGATCACTTCTGAGGGTGTTGGTGTTACTTTACCTCTATGAGCCTGACCCAACTGTGGAAAACACGAGTACCCACAACCTGGGGCTGTTGTTACTTGAGATGACGCATAGAAAGTTCCAGCATACTGCAATGAACATTAAACTGTTACTTTTTTCCTAATGATATACTCTCCTGTTCCAAACTGGAACACGTGTGAACGAAAGCCTGGAACTACTTTTTGTTCAGGGGTTAGCTGATGATACTGGCCACCTTCCCCTTTGGAACTGGATGTAACGTATATACTGGAACCAACTTGAAGCCTCATTGAAAACAACTGCTGAATTACCGTGCTAAGTGCGAGGGAGAAACTCAGGCTGTGCCCTGAAAGAGTGGACATACTCATCAATAACGAGGTGTGTGTGTGTGTGTCTGTGTGTGAAGGCAAACCTCATAATTGACCCAGAAGTGAGGAGAGCTCTGTCTTTTTTTAACTGGCTGAATAGGACCAAATTGCAGACCGACACAGTTCTAGAAGGCAAGCAGACTCTGAATGTACTGCACAGTTTCATTTACTCTTTTGTATTTCAAAGAAACGTCTCAATTTCTACTTTAGAAAGATGACAAAGCTAGTCGTCTTTCACAACACTATTAGTAGTTTTGAAATGTGGGTGATGGGTCAGTGTTCCAAATAACCAAGAAACCCGCACAGACAGTTGAGAGCTGGAAGAGCAGTCAGTGCTCTTAACTGACGAGCCACCTTTCTAGCCCCAATTAGCTGGTTTTGAAAAAACCATGATACTCCATAACTCGAGTGGCATGGGTGGGCCTTATCCAAGTGATGGAGTCCTTCACAGGAAAAAGGTTGAGGTAGGTGTCCTGAGGAAATGGGAATTCTGCCTCCAGGTGTCTATCCACCTTTGGACTTGAGCTATAGGACCAACTCTCATGGGACACCAAGCTCCTGGTCTACCCTGGAGATCTCAGGGTTGCTAGCCCACACAGTTGTGTGATCCAGTTCCTCAGAATGAATCCATGTTAATAGCCATATGACCTTAAATAAATCACATCACCGCTCTAGGCCCTGGGTTATTTTTTTTAAATCTTTCCTGAACAAACACTATGATACTCTAAGTCATGGGGAAAATAAGTAAATTTACCACAGTGACCACTAGATGACAGGAATTAAAGTCAATCTGTCTTTGTTTCTCTCTGGCCCCTCCCCCATCCCATCTCTCCTTTGACCTACTGAACTATTACCTACAATGATGACATTTGAGTGCCCTGAGACTTTGGGAGCTGATAGGTCTTAAACATTTGCTGAATGAGTAAAAAGTAAATAAATTCCAGGGATAGTTCTGAGCTCTTCTGTTCACTTCTAGTGCCCTTATCTTTTACCTATTAAAATACCTCTTTTTAGCTGGGCGGCATGGCACACACCTTTAATCCCAGCACTAGGAAGGCAGAGCCAGGCGGATCTCTGTGAGTTCGAGGCCAGCCTGGTCTACAGCGCAAGATCACCAAAACTACACAGAGAAACCCTGTCTTGAAAAACCAAAACCAAAACAAAACAAAACAAAAACCACTTTTAAAAAATATGGTGGCAGGTATAGATTGGAAAGATGAGACAATAGACTGGAGTCGGGAGGAGAATGAAGGAAAAGCCATTTCGTCACCTTCATTTGCTTGTTTTACAACCTCCTCTATATGACCCGGGGTGGCCTCAACCCCGTGGTGATCCTCCTGCCTCAGCATCCTGAATATTGACCGGGATTACAGGCTTGAACCACCTTGTCAAGCACCATTATACTTTGTGTTCAGCAGAGTCAATGTCAAAACACCATAGTTTTGTGAGTGAAATTACTATAAAACAAACACAGGAGGGTAGCAATGGTCAACAGTCATGTACTGATACTGTTTTACTGTGTTCTTATTTTTGATGCACACTTGAAAACTTACATAATGCGAAGTTAAGATGAGAAGAATCATTAGTGACCCATGAGTATTTTCCTTCTTTTCAGTGAGGCTGAATTGGATTCTTTGCCTGACAGATTGAGCTTTCCAGTAGATAGAGATCTCAAGATGGGAAGAAAGAGCCACCCCTGCTCTTCCCATAGACAGGGACCTGCATGGGCCAGCAGGTAAAAAGTCAGTATTTCCATAAGGTTCACCATTTACCCTCTGGGCATTGGAACAGTTCCAGTGCTTACAACGATTTCCCTGAAGCATTAATGAACTCGAGAAGCCTTCGTGAACTGGGGACTCAAGGCAATGCAGTCGCTACAGTGAAATAATGTTCTTAAGCAAATGGGTGGCATGCAGACGGTGTGCAGTATTTACCCAAGAGGAATGATAGCCTATGAAGTAGCAGAGCACCTCATAAGACAAAGCGAGTAAAATATGAAGGATATGGTGGTTCACTCCAATGATCAAAAGACTATCAAATAGTCAAGCAGTCTATGAACAGCAACATGGTAGAACCTATTTAATCGGCAAATTAAACATCCTCAGACTCAGCCAATATGGATCCCGTGCATATAGACAATCTGTACTGCCAGGCAAAGAAAAATCAACATGCTACCATCTAGCTGTATCCCTAGGCTCACAGTGTGTAACATTATAGAGGGACTAATTGATAGGACGGTGGCTGTTGTTGAGGAACCAGCAGGGTCAGCACTGGGTGACCCTGATAGTAACTGCCCTTTGAACTTCATCCTCTAAATACCTCACTTGCCTCGTGCTGGTCCTGACCCTGTTGAGGAGCCAACTCCAAACAGCCAAGCAGCTTATTAGATTTACACAGAACCCTGCACCAACACCCCACTGTGAGAGGCACAGCAGAAAGTTCTGTGCTCAACTAAAATAAAAATGCAGAGGCGCCATGGCCGGTGGCTGACTCCTCCAACATGGAGAGGACAAAGTACCTCAGGCTGGCTCCAAATATGCTTGTTATCTCCCCCTGCTCCAAGCGGGTGGAGTGTAATAGGGCCACTCAGTGCTATTAAACCTTGAACTCTTACCTGTTCAAGTTCCTAGGATACTGTGGCTGTGTTTTCTCCTAGACACCAGTATCTGAAGGGAGACAAAGCTGAAGCTGCTGCTGCTTATAGGCAAAGAGACCTGGGCTGGCCAGACTTCCGCCAACAGAACACACTAGGAGATTGGGGACTAGTTAGAGTCTACAGATTAGGCATGGTTTTAGAGGCAGCAGATAGAGATTCCTGTCACTTGTCACTTGCTCCCATGAGGCTGTTGTCATCACTGGCACCTGAAGGCGTGCCTTGGGTCATTGGCTGTCCTTGACTTGTGGGCTACAATTATTGGGATGACTCTGACCCCTGCTTGTTCCTGGAACTTCCAGGGCACTAAGCATTTTCTACTAGCTAGACCCTTTCTTAATTTCAAGAAGTAAGAAAACATGTCTGAAAATAATCTTTAGACGTTGTTAAAACTTGGGAGACATCAGCCGGGCGGTGGTGGCGCACGCCTTTAATCCCAGCACTCGGGAGGCAGAGCCAGGCGGATCTCTGTGAGTTCGAGGCCAGCCTGGACTACCAAGTGAGTTCCAGGAAAGGCGCAAAGCTACACAGAGAAACCCTGTCTCGAAAAACAAAAACAAAACAAAACAAAAAAAACTTGGGAGACATCAGTGGAGATTTACACGTGTGTTTTTGTTTTGTTTTGTTTTTTCTTGTCAACCTGCACAGTCTTCTGGCTACTTGGTGGGCTTTGGCAACCATGAGAAACACGCGCATTTGGGAGGACCCTGTCCAGGCTGAGCTTTGAGAGGGAAGAAACAAGGCATGGTTTATTGTCAGTATCCAGCCTACGTCCAGCCCATAATAGGTACGCAGTGCAGGGACGAACTATGCGAAATCCCAGCCCTTCGAAGGGACAGAACCAGAGAGGGATGGGCAAACAGGACCCTCGGGACTTCGTGCCCCAGCAGATGGCTGTTGGTGAAGTTAACACCCCGCAGCTTACCTTTGGCCATTCCCTCTGCAGGCCGAGGAGGCTCACCCTCCCTGGAGCGCAGCCAGCCTTGCGGAGCCGGTGGTGCAGAGGGCAGGAGGCGGCGGCGGCGGCTCCCATTGGTCCAGCGCGTGCCACTCCTCTCGGGGCGGCCCAGAAAAGGAGCCCGGGCTGCCCCAGACGTCCGAGGTGCAGGATACCCGGAGAAAATGGCTGAGTATCTGAGGCTGCCTCAGTCCCTGGCGCTGATCCGCCTCCGCAACCCTCCGGTCAACGCAGTCAGGTAACCGCGCCGGGCCAGGGGTGTGGCGGGTCTGGGTGGGGGCTCGCCTCCCCTAGAAGGGCCGGCCAATGAGCAGCTGGCTCCGACTTTCCTCCTGTCCCCCTGTTAACCTCACAGCTCCGGTCTGGTTCTGGCAAGCCAGGAGCCTACTACAGAGGCGTGGCTTCCTGCAACCCTCCTGCCGGCTTGCAACCTCAGGCTTTCTGTGTGCAGCCCAAAGCTATAGTAGAAAAACAGAGTATGGTCCCCAAGCATGTCAACGCTCCCCGTCTGTTCAGAGCAGGTCTACTGAACAGCATTTTCTGAAAAGCCGAAGTTTTGTTTACTTCACCTGTGATGCCCTCCTGTACAATGTACTTAATACATTACTTTTAAAAGTGAGACCTTTCATCTTTTTGGAATATGATGACGTTCATTTACCTTGTTAATTCCATATCACTGGTGAATAGAGTATAATTCTATATTAGCCTCAGGAGACGTCTCCGGTATGCAGACCAGAAGTGGTGGG